TATGGTGCAGTTATGGTATGGCCAAAAAATTGGTGGTGCGGTGATGATTTTGACCGAACTGACCCCGAACCGAACCGTCGACATCCCTAAGTGGGATTGACCTAAATAGGGGAAGGGGGTGAACCGATCTTCGTGATGCATGTAAGTTATCAACATTGAATAAAGAAGGTGAAACTAGCCAAGTTGACTACCAAATTGACCATCCCGGGACGGTGGGGGTATCAATCACTAGTCCTCTTATTCAAAAATTATTTTTTTCGATCTTAAATAACAGACGGATTGCAGATATGGGTTCATTTTCGTGTTAATATGAGTAAATATAAAGTTAAATGGATACGAAATTATGACACTCAATTAGCTATGTCAACGAGTCGGGCCCAAAAAAAAAGCTCGAGCTCGGCTCGAGCTTTTTTTGGGCTCGAGCCAAGCCGAGTCCGGCCAAAAAAATAAGGCTCGCCTCGAGCCTTAGCGGGCTAGAAGAGCCGACTCGATTTTTTATTTTTTTTTCAGCTATTTTAGCTGCCTACTTTGAGCAGGTAGCTTTAATTTTTATTTTATTTATTTTATTAAATTAATTACGAGTCGGCCAGCCTCGTTCGAGCTTTTTTGCCACCACTACACCCAACTGTTTAAAATGGCAACATGTCCTTTTAGATTACAGGATTTCGATTTCACTCATATTATACTGAAGACTTGAATTCATCCATTTTCACGTGGATACATGGGAATAGAACATGAAAAAAAATATGAAATTAGTTGAAATGATACCAATCGTTTGAAGTAACAACATACGATTTTGGATCACGAGATCTTGATTTCACTCCAAATATAGTGAAAACTTCTCTTCATTCATTTCCACGTGGATACATCGGAACATAATGTGAAACTTACACGAAATTAATTGAAGTAGAACCCATCCGTTTAGAATGATAGCATGCCAACACTTATCATCTGTTTGGTGGGAATTAATATTAGTTTTTTAGTAGATTTTGATAAAAATTAATGAAATTTCTTAATTCCTACCAAACATGGGCTTAATAAAGTACAGTAATGGCCCATTTGGTATGAATTATAATTATATTTTTGCTTAATGTAAAAGATCTTCCTAAGTTATTTTAATTTTTATTTAGAATCAATTTTGGAATAGTGATTTAAAAAAAAAAAAAAATTAGTGAGAAGCACGTGCAAGGCACGTGCCATGATATAGTTGACTACGTAATAGCGTAGGTATTAAAAAAAATATTTATGTCAAACATTAGTTACATAAAATTTTCTTATAAGTTACTAAATGTTTCGAGGAAACATTGAATATGGAGATGAAAAAAAATCATACCACAGTTATCGAATAAATCGAGACTCACCTTCCACCACAGCCTCTAGTTATCAACAATTGTTTTCCTACGAATCTCCGATAGAAAAGTCATTGTCAATTACTTCATAAACCTCTAATCAATTTTTAAACAAAGGAACATAAAAAAAAAACTTAAAATAAATAACTAATAAACCCAAAAA